ACTACTGCAGGCAGCACCATTTAACGTTTCCACTGCAGGTCCAGGGCTGCCCACAGGCTCCTTCCAGGCTCCTACAGACTGCAAGGAAACAACTTCATGATCGGCCACAACTTCCATTCCCATGGCACAGCAATCGTGTCAGAGATTCCTCATCATATATCTCCCGCTCCCAATTTGCCCCATACTTCTCCTCCACACTAGTTTGTTCTGAAATAGACCATTTATGGACACCTATTTAGCACTGATTGAGAAGAGCACTAGATCTACTTAGAAATGGACCAAACAGCACACAGCTCTCTCCTAGCAATCTTTTAGATCAGCAACAAGCAAAGGGTCTGAAGATACCATTCCAAGCCCCCTCCTCCACCTACCAAACCCTAATCTGGAAAGTCCAGTGGGGAGGATTTTGATAGAGATCCCTAGCTATGCACTCCTTTTCTCAGCCCCCACAACCAATGTTGAGTGAACCATTCAAGCAGGGCTTGGACAGCTTCTTAGTTTTTGTCTCAGTTCCACATTCGATAGAATCACTGTGCTCTGCCCGCTGCCCTCATAAGATAAACAGTAATAAACAGCCTCGTCTTCTCCTTGAACGTTGGAGATGGACAAGGTGGCCGAATTGGACGAAGAGTCAACGGAACCAGAAAATCGCTCGGGGATTCCGGAAGGTCTCTCGCTATCTAGATAGATCACGGTGAGAGGACTACTGCCAGGTTTCTGCTGATACCAGCTCACATAGCCGTCTGAAATGCTACCACCTGTCCTTTTACAGTTGATCGTGACTGTCTCTCCAAGCGATGCTGACAAAGAAGGTGGTTGAGTCAAGGTGAACTGGGCCAAGGCGCCTGCAGGTGGAAAAAATGGGGGGGGGGGAATTTAACTGAGCTGCTGTCAGGGAGAAAGGCATTTTATGAAGTTTAAATAAAGTAGAAAGGAGGCAAGAAAAGGATAAAATATCCAGGAAAGTAGAGTTGTGCATTGGAAGGCCAAAATACGTCGAACCTCCATGTAGAACAGCCATACTTTACCAGTGAAGTAGGTGAGGAGGAAGAGGAGGAAGAGAAACGTTTGGACCATGGCTGAGAAATGGACAACAGTGGGTCTTCTGAAACCAACGCTCCTTCTAGGTTGCCCTGTTCGCTCCACTCTTAAGCTCCAGAATTGGTGGCTGAAAAAGTATGCAAATATTTTTTCCGGTCTATTTCTTTTTTAACACACACACACACACACACA